TAAATAAATAATATAGAATATATTTAAATATTTATATAAAATATTATTAATAAATATTTAAAAAGTAATAAAGATATTATATAATTTAAAAGATATTATTATATATTTAAATAAACTATATCGAGTAAGAAATATAATTTTTTTCTTATAATTCTTTTTTATTCTAATTTTATTAAAAGCGATTATAATATCGAATTTATTATATATTTTTATCGTATATAATTTAATAAAAGTCTTTTTAATTAATAAAAGAGTATTTTAATTAAAAATAATAAGTGCGTTAAGGGCTTTATAATTTATATATAACTTAAATTCTTTATTAAGTTTCTTTATAATTAAAATAGATATTATATAAAAAGAAGTATTTAGTCTAATATAGTCTTTCTCTAATATCTTATTAATATATTTTTTTATAATTAATATTTAATCTCTAGAGAGTTTATAAACTCTTTTCGATAGTAGAATAGCTTTTTTTTTTAAAATATATTTTATAATTAATAAAGTAATAAAAGAGAAATTTATTAGTTTTAATTAAGTTTTAAATATTTAATTATTTATAATATATTATAAAAATTTATTCTTATAACTATTTTATAATTAGAGATTTCTTTTTTAATTTATAAATCTTTTTTTATAATCTTTTATTATAATAATAATATTATTAATAATAAATTTTACTTTTTTATTAATAGAGTTAAAAAGTTATTTAAAATCTTTAGACTATATAATAATAATTTAATTTTTTAATTTTTTAATTATCTTAATAAAGATATAAATAAAAAAAATTATTATATTCTTTTTTTTAAATATAATCTTTATTATATAATTTAAATTCTTTTTTAAAAATTTATTATTATTTTAAATAGTAATAAATTTATTATATAATAAATAGTTAAATATATAGTAATTTAAATTAAATATAATAATTCTAAATTTAAAGAATATATAAGAGTTATATTATTCTAATTATAATATTTTTAAAATAATATTAAATTATCTTAATAAGATAATTAAGTATTAAAGTTTTTTTATATAATCTTTTAAAATAAGTTTTATTAAGATTATATATATAATATTAAAAATAAAAATAAATTTATTATTAATTAATTATAATTTATAGAATTATATTAATATTATTTTAAATAGCTTATTTATTTTAATAAAAGATATATTTATAAAATTTAATATTAAAGCTTTAATATTCGAGAGATAATTAATCTTAATTTATTTTATTAATATAATAATTTTTTTATAAAAGTCTAATTAGCGTTTATTTTATAAAGAGATTTTAATAATAATAATATATATAAATAGAGAGATGAAAGCGAGTATTCTTTCTATTTCTAACTCTTTAATCTTTATATATAAGATTTTTAAATCTTTAGCGATAACTTAACTAAAAATATTTAATTTTCTAATTTTTATAATAATTCGATAAGAATATTCTTCTTAATATCGATAACTTTTAGAATTATATTAATTTATTCTTTTATTAATAAATCTATATTCTTATATAAAGTATTATTATTATTAAAATAATATTTAATCTTTAAATATTTAAAATATCTATCTTCTTTTTAAATTCTATTTATTAATAATTTAGAATATTTATATTCTTATATATAGAAATTTTTAATAATAATATTATTATTTCTTTTAGTAAAGAAAATATTACGCTAATTATTTAAAAGAATAAAGTTTTTATTAATTTTATTAATTTCTTTCTTACTTTTTAAATTTAATATATTATTAATAGCTTAAAGATTTATATCTAATATTTATAAAAAAATAATTAATTCTTAAAAAATATTAAAAGATTATTTTAAAATTTGATATTTTAAATATATAAAGATTAATTATTTTAAATTAAATATTTTATAGATATTAATAAATCTTAAAAGAGTAATAGCTATAAAGAATTATATATAAAAATTCTTAAACGATTTTTTTTTATCTATTACTTTTATATTAAATTTAAAATTAAATATCTTAATATTTAATTTAATAATCTTATTATATATTTTAAATATATTATTTAATTTATTAATTATTTTTTAGATAATTTAATATAGATCTAAAATATTTTTATCTATTTTTATTTTAATAATATTATATATAATAAACTTATAATAATTTTATATATAATTAATTTTTTTAAATTTAATAAAGAAAATTATAGCGCTTTATTTAAATTTCGCTTTAAAATATTAATACTAATTATCTTACTTATTTCGATTATTAATATTATAAAAATTTAAGATATTAAAATATTATTTATTTAATTTTATACTCTCTACGCGATTTATAATAGAAATATAATATAAATTTTAATAGATATTATTAATAAAAATACTCGACTAATAAAATATAATCTTTATATTTTTTTTATTAAAGTTTTTTAAATTAGCTAATATATAAAATTATTACTTCTTTAACTATTACTCTTTATACTTTAAATTTTATTTAAATTTCTTATTTTTTTTAATAAGTTTTATAATATTAATATAATATTTATTATATAAATTTTAAAATCTATTATTAATTTCTCGCTTATAAAATAATTAGCTATTATTATTAGTTAGCTAAATAATAATTATTAATATTTTTATTTTAATAATTATTATTTAGCTAAATAATAATTATTAATATTTTTATCTTAATATAAATAATATTCTAATTAAATTCTTTATTTTATTATTAAAGTATTTTAATATTATAACTAATAATTTAAAAGCTCTCTATTAAAATCTTTAATTTATTATATTAAATATTAAAAATATTAATAGCGCTTTTTATAAAATTCTATAAATTAATAATAAATATAAAAATTATAATTAACTCTTTTTCGATAATATTTATAAATTATATTTCGATATAATCTAAATTAAATTTAATAATATATCTTTTAAAAATAGAATATTTTTTTTTATATTATACGAATAATATAATAATATTTAAAATCTTTTTATTAAAGTTCTTAAGTTTTTTTAAATAATAATATATTTATAATTTATCTATAATAATTTAACTTTATATATTATTTAAATTTAGAATTAATAAATTTATAATTAATATTAAATTAGTAAGAGTATAAAGAAGATTTAATCTAAGATCTATTTCTTTTAATATATTAAAGATATTTATTTTCTTTAGATTTTTATTTAATTTAATTAGATTAATCTTTATATAAATAAAAGATTTTTTTTTAAATAATCTTTTAAATAGTAAGCTTCTTTAATTATAATTATTAACTTCTTAATAGTATACTTTCTTCTTAATTATATATTTAATATAATTAATAAATAAATTACTATCGCTTTAGAAGAAAGATAAATAATATTATATTAAGAATTTAATAGTATATATAATAACTTTATATTATAGTATAAAGAGAATACTATTTATATAGAATTATTATAAATATAGACTTTATAGTAAGATAGAAAGATTAAAAGATCTTAATACGCTAAGTCTAATTAGACTATAATATAAGTAAGATCGTAAGATCGTTGAAATCGTAATATCTTTCTATATTTAAAGACGTCTTTTTCTACGTTCTATATATCCATAAGAGACTCTAACGTTATACGAGATATTCTCATTTATCGATATTACCGCCATTAATATCTAACTTTATATTAAAAGAATAAATTATCTCCGCTTCGCTCTTCGCTCTACTCTTCGCAAGTTCGATAGCTATATAATTACTTATATATATATATACTTACTTACTTATTTATATATATCGCCGCGACGACTCTTATAAGTCTAATTATCTAAAAAATAAGAGGAGATTACGATATTTAATTAAAGTAATAAACTAACTAGCGAGGCTACGATATTTTCTCTAATACGCTATATCGTCGATTCGGCGAGTATTATAGCGATTATTTCGAGAATATTTAAGAGAATTTCTATATAATATCTACGCGTCTATTAAGATATATAGTATTTTTAAATATTAATATCGCTACTATAGCTAAGTTAGCTAAGTTTTTTAGTGAAATGAAATTAAAAGTCTACTTTTTAATTACTGTACTATAGCTTCTAATTTAACGAAGGCCTATTTGACTATTTATTCGACTTTTTTCAAGAATTCCAAAAAAGGTCGTATTACGTAGATAAGCATTTTTGTTAAGAATTATATATACGTAGGGTGTGAATATTATATATCGAGCGATATATCAAAAAATTAAGTCTTAGCAGGGTTTTCTACTCAGACCCACCTCAAGGCCGGTGGGGTCAAGCTGAGACTAATTTGACCCCTATGACAGTCATGTGACGGTCATACGGTGACAGGCCGTCTGACCTGACAGATGACAGCGCTAACCGTATACCGTAGGTGTCTAACCGTAAAGATAATAAGGCTAACCAAAGATAGGCGTAGTAGATAGAAGCTTGGCGTTATCTATTCTTAGCTTATTAAGATACCACTAGTAATACTCAGTTTCAGCCCTAAATATCTCTGAATTCTATCATACCGCTTCGAATCCCACGCTTCACCTTACTATAAGCTCTTTGCAGTGCGGTCATTTGAATACATATAACTGTCAAAGGATTGAGAAGGTCTGACCTGACGTCACGTGTCATATGACAAATCTACATCCCTAGCTCTGACTTTCCTAGAGACATAAGATATGCCTTGTGTGGATCTGATAATGGCTTCATTGACCATAATAAAGAAGCGTGCGGCCCTCTGTCAGCTAATCACTTAACCTTGAACCACTATCGTGTATGGTCAAGAGGTTGAATTAGCCTCACCGAGGGATCCTTTTTCAGTATTTGGCTATCGAATTTTGGCAGCCAGAGCGTTCCAATGTCCCTTCCGTCCATTACATCATGCTGACATAAAATCTCATTGGTTTCCGCTTTCTCTTGTTGCCTATATCATGGCAAAGTGTTTGCCCCATCTTTACCATCTCATGCGTCCATTTCGTCTTCTACTAAGCAGCTTCATCTCCAACGTCTCAGCAGACATCTCACGCCTACAGTCCTCAGCCATGGCCACCCCAAAGACCTCGCTCTCAACCAGCCGACCTCCCTCCACCCCTCCCGCCAGCCTTTCCGCTTATGAGAACAAAGGCCTCTCCCACCCACCAAACCTTGATCCTCTTACCAATGCGCAGAAACAAACATGCAGGGTGAAGCCTGTCACCATTAAAGTCAATGACGATCTCTATGGCGCGGTCCCTGCTTTCTTACACATTCCACAAAATTACCGCCGCGAACAAACCGAGGGACGCGAGAAGACGGCCGCTATACTGTTATCCGGTGCAGGCGGAGGTGTGGTGGGTCCATCCTCAATATATCTTTCGATGGCGGACAAGTTGGCTAGTCTGAACAAGGGCATACCGGTCATGCGACTAGACTACCGTTATCCGGCAAGAAACAAATACTGCGTAGCGGATGTGCAGGCAGCTATGAAGTATCTGGAGACTGGCTATGGGCTTTCAAAATTCGTGCTCGTAGGTTGGTCGTTCGGCGGCGCACCGGTATATACACTTGGTGGTAGCGAAGAGAGGGTCATTGGCTGTGCCACGGTGGCCAGCCAGACAGCTGAGACGGAAGGGATTGGGAGATTGGCTCCGAAGCCTGTTCTGTTGATGCATGGCACTGGTGATAGGACACTGAGATACTCTCGTAGTCAACGCTTGTATGATGAGTATGGAACGAAGGGGGAGAGGGAGCTGAAGCTTTTTGATGGAGACGATCATGCGTTGACGAGGAATGCAAGAGAGGCGGAAACAAGGCTTTGTGAATTTGTGTCGAAATGTGCTGGGGTCGAGATTGGCGGAGCAGAGAAGGAGATGATGGGGCAGGAATTGATTGGAGACGGAGACAGGGTGAGGTTGATGAAGGAGGGCGGAGCTTTGAACGGCGGAGAGAGGGTGGAATAGCCGGACATTTCGAATCCTCAAGGTCTGTCATCAGTGACATGAGGTTCAGACTCGACGTGCTTCGATCATCTTTTGTGTTTCAGTCTCAGGTTCTAACTATTGTTGGTCTCAAAGACTTGGAGCCATGGAATGGAACGGAAGACGATTGGAACATGACGGCAAGTTCAAGGCTCGGTAACCGTTGCAACGCCAGGAACCGGTTTTCACTCTTGGAGCTGAGGCTTCTGCAAGTGCTTTCTCTTTGTGTGGAATGCAAAACTCGAGATTATTCTTCGAGCACACAGAACAACGACTGGAAGTTAGATTAATCTCACACTGCAACGCTCGAATTTGACCATCTTGCTGGGTGATAGATCTCGGGCGCGATGTAAGAAGAAACCGACGAATTCCCCCTTACGATCCCGCATCCAATATCAGTCTGCAGACCAAAGTTCGCATATTATTATCGAGATTGTTCAGATAGAAAGTAAGCAATCAAATACTCAATGCATCTGCATTGTTGAATTTGATATCTGTTAAAGTAATGTAATTTAATGCAGTAGACGTTTTGATAAATACATGTCTCATCTCTCATACAGCAGCTAGTGCTTCTGTGTTTTCAATCCAAACATCGATCAGGATGGTGCGAGGCATTCTACGTGCAGTTTGCAGAAAAACTTTCATGGTTGCGCCTTCGCACCCACCGTGTCAGTAGACTCGTATCGACTTGGGGGTTGTACATATAGGATATCGAAAGTGGGTGTACATCTAATGCTACCCCCATGCCTATTTTGATTTCGATAGGAAAGTGCATGTGGAGACGGGTGTGGCGTGTCGATCTCCCGCTCGTCTCCTGCCATTTAGCGTCCGATAAACGGTCATCCAATTTCTCCCATATTCTAACCATGTTACGAAATCAGTGTTTTCATCCGTCAACACTCCTATCATCCCCGAGCTTAGATAGTTCTGCCGACTGCGTCCCCTCTGTTTAAGGTGTTACTTTCTTTTGGAAAGATTTCCCTGCAATTTTCATCTGCAGTCTATTCTCTAGACCATGGCATTGACAGAGCATGATAACGTGGAAGAACATGCCTCTGAAACGAGTCCGTTACTCGGCAACGGCGATGGCAAAGTCACCCCTGATGGTGAATCAGGCCAAGGAGGAGATACCGATAACACTGGTGACAGCCGGGGCGAGAACGATGCTCCACTCGCGGAAGAACCTAGCACAGGCAAGCTGCTCATCGTCATGAGCAGTATCTGGTTCGGCACATTCTTGGCTGCGTTAGATGCGACAATCATAGCCACATTGTCAGCCCCGATATCCGCCTCCTTCAATTCATTGTCCCTGCTCTCCTGGCTTGCTTCGGCCTATTTCATAGCCAATGCAGCTCTCCAGCCGCTTAGCGGTCGACTAACGGACATACTGTCTCGACGGACGGGTCTGATATTTTCGAATATCTTCTTCGCCGCTGGCAACCTCATCTGCGGTCTCGCCACGAGCGAATGGGTTATGATCTTTGGCAGGATTGTTGCTGGTATGGGCGGTGGTGGTCTGACAGCTATCTCCACCTTCGTAGGGTCTGATCTTGTTCCTCTGCGCCGACGGGGGGTATGGCAAGGTTTCGGGAACATCTGCTTTGGTGTCGGCGCTGGTCTTGGTGGTGTCTTCGGCGGTTGGATCAATGATACTTGGGGATGGCGGAAAGCGTTTCTGATCCAGTAGGTGGCCGTGGAGACGAGGCTTTCCTTTTTGCCGAGCTTGAACCACAATAAATGCTTTGGAAGCGTATTTGTTGTTTCAATCCCTAACCCTGTTTCTATTCTCCAATCTCTATATCGAGGGAGACAGGCTGACTCCAAAATTCCTTACAGAGTGCCATTCATTGTCATCTCCGGCATCATGGTATCCTTCACCGTCAATATCCCGGTCAAATACTCCTCCAAATCAGCTCTCAAGCGTATCGACTTCCTCGGCGCCGCAGCGCTCATCACGACCTTGGTTCTCCTTCTTGTCGGTCTGAACTCGGGCGGCAATGTCGTTCCCTGGAACCACCCTCTAATCTACACGACTCTTTCCTTATCTTTCATCTTCCTCCTTCTCTTCATCTACATCGAGAGCAAGCTCGCGTCTGAGCCTGTCATACCAGTCAAGCTTCTCCTCAACCGGACCGTGCTCGCCGCCTGCTTGACAAACTGGTTCCTGACCATGTGCGTTTTCTCGCTCCTTTTCTACGGACCCATATACTTTCAAGTTAAAGGCCTATCCCCTACCCAAGCTGGTGTACGACTGATACCACAGTCCATCGGCACGGCAATAGGTAGTGTATCTACTGGACTCATCATGCGCTGGACGGGAAAGTACTACATACTTAACATCTGTATCCAGATTGTGTTCACCGCGGCTTACGCTTTGCTATCATCGTTCACTTTGATGACGCCAGCATGGGAGCCTGTGCTTGCCATGTTGATGTCCGGGATAGGGTACAGCGGTATGCTTACTACCACACTCCTCGCGCTCATCAGCGCTGTGGATCATAAAGATCAGGCCGTCATCACGTCGGCTTCTTATGCATTCCGAAGTACCGGCAGCGCCATTGGTATTACAATTGCATCCGCTGTATTCCAGAACATCTTGAAGATTAGGTTGTGGGCGGTATTGGGCGACCGTGAGGGCGCGGCTGATGTTATTGGGAGGTTGAGGGATAGTCTCGATGAGATCAAGACATTACCGGTAGAATGGAGGGGTGAGGTGAGAGAGGTGTACATGGAGGCGCTGAGAGGCGTCTTTCTTACGACATTAGGCATAGGTATTGTAGGTGGGCTGGTGAGTCTGGCTATGAGGGAGCATGTCTTGCATAGGAATCTAGAGAGAAAATAATCGAAGATGATGACGGTGTTCAAGAGGGCTACCAGATGTGTAACACGATTTAAGGCGGACGATTAACGCCAAATCGCTTGCTTCGCTGGCTAACAAGCGATACCTCTCTCGAGAAAAAAAAAACTTTCTCACCACATAAGGCAGAACCAGCTCGCGTTCCCAAATTGCCTCTGTCATGTTCAATGGAGGCACTCGCCAGCGATTGCAATCCGGGTGTTTCCGCTTCCTGCGACCTTCAATAACGATATCACCTATCACATTTACTTGGGTTTTCCCCACGATGTCGGCCTCGTCGCTTCACGACGAAGCGCTGAAGTGCCAGCGAATGACGCCAGATTCTGGGCTGAAAAGTGCGGCAATCGATTTCACTCCTGCATGGAATGGCGTCCTCCTGCTTTGTTCATCGACCGAATATGATCGGGAGCTGTTTTATGTACAGCCCGATTTGATGCATGTACATCCACTTCTATTGACAGTCCGAGTTGCAGGATCCATGTACATCATAACCGGACGTATTTTTGAGAGATGCTGTGCAATAGCGTTCACGGTAGCCAAGTACGCGCTGAAAGGTTGACGGATGCCAACCTACGTATCTCGGAGTATTGCCTTTTTCGAGCAGGGTACCATGCTCGAATGCTATGGCTCGCTTCTACTACCAACAAACCTGCCACGCTCTCTACTCGCGTCTCGCAAAGGCACATGCTCCGCGTCATCCTCCATGTCGTCTACGTCGAAGCTTTCAGCGCTTCCAGTCCTTGCCTCCTCATCCTTCAGCTTCCCGAATCCATTTCTCGAAGCCCACTCTGCTCGGCTTGGGAATGGTGTATCGCAACGAGGTGAAGTCAGCATTGGGTAGTACCTTCTGTACGAGAAATAAGCGACGAGCATGCCCAGAATCGATCCCGTAGTGACATCGTAGACATCATGCCTGTAGTCTTCCAAGCGCGATATTGATATCAGCGCAGCAGCGACCAGCGGTGCTAGGGCAAGCAGGACTCTGGCTAGATCAGTTCGGGGTCGGAAAACGTGCATTTGCCCAGCGAAGAACCTGATCGGTCAGCCAACTACCCGTAGAACAACGTTTATGAGGCTCTTACAACGCCAGATACCCCAGTCCACTAAAAGCAAGGCTGCTGTGACCGCTAGGAAAGCTTCTCCATCCGTCATGTAAAACGTGGTGATCTGTCTCGGTACAAGAGCCAATGGTGATCAGAGTATGCTCAGGGGTACCCTTTCTAGGCTTGCAGCGAGCGATCAGGTCCGGCCTTGGTCGTCCCACCGAATTTTTAACCACGTCCGTAAGGAACGTAGTCAGCATGATGCTGATAGCAAGACCCAGTATTGTGACATTGGTCTTGTGTAGACCAGGCCTAAGTATAATTGCCCACAGGAAGAATATGCACAGTGGCAGAAAGACAGAGTAGGCGACGTTCCATACTGCGTTGCCTATTCAGCGGCCACGTAGGCAGAAGAGGACTCGAAGGCTGCATACTGACTGGTACACGCTCGACCGCGGCGTGAGGGTACTGTATAGAGATGTTGTCGAGGGAGAACATGCGATGGAAAGGCTCGACGAGTACTTGGATCTGGGCACGAGTCAGTCTCTCGATCCTGATTCGAGCCATTGGTGACCCACCAAGCTATATGCCAGCAGCAGCAGGGCGAAGCCAGCGTAGTCTGCAGCGTAGGAACCGTTCCAAAATCTGGAGACGGAAGACATGAAGTTTTCGTCTTTGCCAGCTGTCTTCTTCCCAGCGGCGCGGGGCATGGCCGTCAATGATATCTGCCGCATTGGACCCTCATCTAGGAATATGTATTTCCATAGGCGTCAAGGGGGTGGCAACGAAGCTGAAGCTTGCAGCCTAATTGTTAAGTGAATTTCGCATTTATGCAAGCTGACCGCTAGCGTGTTTACCCCGGATTCCAACCGCATCCCTGCATTTCAACGCTGCAACTCAAAAGTCTTTTCCATTCGATAGCAATATTACCCCCCCAAGACCACTGACAGTTCTCGACAATGATGGCAGACCAAACTCAGCCGGGTACAATCAGCGCCGCCTTCCCAGCTCCACCGCCCTTCTACAAGTCTTTCACGCCGCAGAACCTCGAGCGCTTACAAGAGCATCTCGAATCCTCAGGCCAACCTACCTCGCCAGCTACACAACCAACCACAGCGCCTATTCCAGACGTCCTCTCTCTACCACCCGAACTACGCAACCTCATACCTCCTCCTCCACCAGCAGAGGGCAAATACCGCTCTTTCGGCACCCTTCACGAAGTCTCTCCGACACCGGCCTCCGAAGACCAGCAAACACCGACCCCCACCCGCCTTCTCTCCCTCACGCATAAAATCCTATTGACCTTTCTCTCCCTCACCAACGCCCTGGCGACCAACCCTGCCGGTTACGGCCCCATATGGGACGAGCTGCACGAATTGTTCCAGGAGGTCCACAAGGTCATTAATGGGTATCGACCGCATCAGGCGAGGGAAACGCTGATTCTGATGCTGGAAGAGCAGCTGGAGAGGGTGAGGGGTGAGACGAAGGGGTTGGGAGAGACTGTGGGGAGGGCGAAGGAGGTTGTCGAAATGCTGGGGAGGGAAGACCGAGGGGGAGGTGTGGGCCATGGTGTGGAAACGGACCAGCTTCGAGAACCTGTGAGCCAGGGAAATAGGGAGGAGGAAGACGTGGAAAAGCGGATTTGGACAGTGTTGGAGAGGGAGGTTGGGAGATGTTAGGGGCCATGTTGGGAGGTGCCCTTTTACGATTTTACGATTTTACGATTAGCAAAAGATTATCAGTACCCAGCTGCAGCCACGAGCGATGGGGCTCCGAGCCATTTACAGCAAGTACTACGCTGTACCCATAATCACTTTCCTCCTCAGGCTCTCGTTCCTCGTTTAGACCTTGATTGAATATCCACCATTTCCCCCAAAACACTTTTATCAGTCCTCCCACTCTATTCATATGTATGAAGGAAACTGCAGAACTAGAGTAGACAATGGATTTGAACCCTGGCATTTTCTCGAAAGCGATGGCAGTCCTCATTTGGAGCATCAACGATGCAGATTTGGTACGCCGTCATGGGCATGCAGGTTCCTGCATCTGATTACATCCAAGTTCAGACGGTGCTTCAGCCTTTCTGGTTTCCAGACCATGGTGGTCGGGACGAACGGCTAGCGAAACAAGGCGTACCTACCTTAGGCAGTCGATGGCATATGTGCATCCCCACTCCTTCCATTTTAGTCTCACAGGTGCACACCCTTTTGAAGATACTTGTTCCTTCCGCTATCCATCACACGCTTCCCTTAGCCTATTTTTCTTCTCTTCCCTTACCCAATTGTTTTTGTTACAAGCTATCAGCTCTACATTCTGTGGCAGAATATTTCATTGTATCTGCAATCGTTATTTACTTAGGAGCTCGCGCACATAAACTCTCTGTTTCACGAACCGTAAAATTGGATACTACCTTACGCATCGTCACCATGCAGGTCACCGAGATTTCGCACTTGATTCCATGGGTGTGTGATGAGGTTGGGGTGGATACTGCCTTTCTCGGCCAATCAGTCGAGTCATCAATCACGAAAAGACCAGATCATTACCAGCTTAAGTCTACGCCTCAACACATACCTGCATGAGGGTTGTCTTCTTGAGCTTGCAGCAGCCAATTGCCCTTGGTTCCTTGGTTTATAAGAAAATAGCCTCGTGGCCTTGTTCAATGTTTCATCCCGTCCCACGTCGATCAGATCCCCCTTTCGTCCTGCATCTCCATCACCCTATCCGCTGCCTGCGCCTCTGTCTGTTTCCAGCAATGCATTGCGCTATTTCCCTTTCGGCGGTAAGCCAAGATTTTGAATCCTTCCTTCATGCAAGTTACGCTGCTTTGCCATATTGGCTGCTTTCACCTACATGACGCCCAATACGATCGACACCAATTGCTGCGTTGTAGCAGCTTGTCTCCAATCAACTTGTGACATATGTGTGGCATTGTCGCCGTGAAGCCAGATCTTTCAAAGGCGATACTGGTGGCGTCTTGATTTCTTCACACTTCTAGTCCTCGTCGTCGTCCTTGTGTAATCAAATCCGACACCTCTCGTCACCTTGACATTAAGCAAAAGAAATCATGGCAACCCCAATCACAGCTCCGACTCCAGAGCAGCTTCAAGCACTGTTGAGTGGACCAGCCGGGACACCTCCTGCTGGAGTAGTGCCGAACTTCCAGAATCCACCGAATCTCAATGCTTTCCTCATTTTGACACTGACGTTGGTCTTGACTTTCGGGAGTTTAGCTGTTCTTATGCGCATGTATACAAAGTTGTTCATAATTCGATCCGTTGCGTATGAAGATTGTACGGTCCCACAGCTTGTTCCGCTCACAATACTGATACTTCTTAGATGCTGTCATGCTAGGATGGGTAAGGCCTGAGGTAGGGGGAAGTTTTCGAACCTTACTAACATCACCAAGTTAATCCAAATTGCGGAGACGGTTCCATCTGCAATTACCACTAAACATGGTGCTGGATGCCATATGTGGAACATACAGCTCAAAACTTTCTTCAATATGCTCTACGTATGAATTGCCTCCGAGTATCCATTACATATAGGAGGAGACTTACCATAATTCTAGTGGACTAACCTCTCTTCAGTACTATATTGCCCCATTGTGTTCTTTGTCAAGTTATCTATTCTCCTCCAGTACCTGAGAATCTTCGTGCCCAACAGAAAGGGCAACATGTCCATTTTTGTTGCGATACAGATCTGTATTTGGGGTTGCTTCATAATGTACCTGGTCGCTACCATCTTCGCCATTGCGCAATGTACTCCGCGCAAGAAGATCTGGAACCCATTGATGAACACGGGCCACTGCATCGACACAAGCGCTGCATACTTGTCTACTGCAATATTCAACGTCATCACCGACTTCGCAATCTTGATCCTACCGATGCCAATTCTTTGGAAACTACAGATGCCCCGGAAGAAGAAGATCCTGACGACAGCAGTATTTGCAACGGGCTTCCTGTAAGTATCCATCATCGACGCCGTGTCATCATCCGAGAGAAACTTTCCCTCCCTTTACCCCTTACTTGGAAAAAGACTTACTGATCTCTTCGGAACATTAGGGCTTGTGTGACATCCGTCTGGCGCACATACTACGCTTGGCAGATTTTCCAGTCGCGCGACATCAGCTATAATGTGGTCAAGATGGGTCTCTGGACTTACGCCGAGATTGCCATTGGTACCATAGTCAGCTGCATGCCCGTACTCCCCAAATTCTTCCGACACTTCAGTCCGAAACTTTACGCGACGTTCGCTTCCAAATCCAAGCGTGGCAGCAGCAGTAGTAATCCTCCACCCAAATCCCGATCTTCCGTCGTGGTGGAAACACCTCGAAACTCGGCGGAATCATCCAAGAGACTCTTCGCAAAAGGCAATGGAGGAGAAAGGGACGTCTCACAGATATGGAACCAAGCTTATCACCCGTCGACCGTCGAGGTCAAGGGCGAGTATGTCACGCTGGACGAGTACGACGCTGTGCTACCGAGAATGGGTACGGCGAGTGAATCGGACCCAAAGATGGGCAAGGGCAACGCTACAAAACGAGATGATTTGGAGAGCGCTCAGCATGACTTCGCTATCCGAGGGACTATCTTTCCGCAACGGAGATGAGATTTAGAGGTGCTGGGGCTGCGAACGGGATAGTAAAAGCTTGTAAAAGGTACTGGAGAAGGACGTCATAGGATTGTGGTGGCTTGACGGCTTGATATGACTGGTCATGAATGAACAAGAAGAATGACTTCTGATTATTCTACGATTTCCGTGATTCATTGAAGCCCAAAAGTCTCCCAATTTTCATGACATCTGAACGTCCTCAGAATGTCCCAAAATTTTATATGCATGGCGACATCCACACAGCCCAGAATCCTTTTCATTTTCGCACATGGGTCAAGCAGTCGCAGCTCGAAGAAAAGCCCCATCCAGCCTCTCACTCTTAAGCTCGAAATACCTCGCCATCGCCATCTCATACTCTCCCACCCGGCCCTCTCTTCCCTCAGCAATCCCAACGCTCTCCCTCCACACCAAACACGCTTTCCCCCAAAGCACCTTGATCAAGCCCCCAACCCCCAGTATAAAAGGAATCAGCTGCCCCAAACTCGACAACGACTGCAACCCACCAACGCTATTCCACACAAGCGTCAACTCTATCTGCGCGATCAAGAGAGCAACGAACACGAACTGCTGAGCGGCCGCGAACGCCCACTTGGCCGTCGAGTTGGGCACGAGGATCCGCGACAGATGCAGGTCGGAAGCGACGGTCACGTGGCGCCAGTCGGGCGTCTCGGCGTCCCGGTCGAGCTCGTACATGCGGTTCAGGACGCGCGGCCATTTCCACGGCGCGATGGCTCCCAAGGCCATCAGGTGCAGGCTCACTCCTTGCCGGAGGCTGCTCGGTGGCTTGTTGGTCCAGAGGGATCGGAGAGCGCCGGAGGCGCACTGCGGATAGGGGGTTGGGTCTGAACATTGGGGTTTTGGATGGCCAATATTGAATCGGAGGCAAGCACGGTGGGTGATTCGCCTGTGGTCCGGTAAGGCGGTGTTTTCTGGGTAGATTGACATGAGCAGATCGAGGTACTTCTGTGCTTTGTCCACTCCTTCCAAAATAGAGCGGTCCTTGTCAGAAGCGTTTTTCAATGCAACAGTGTCTTCGCGTTTGTTCTCTAGGAATGTTGAGTGACAACTGGTACTGCTTTGGGCAACGTCAGAAGCTTTTGCCACAGTCGTGAGCTCTGCGCTCTGGGACTGTCTCGAGGCAGAAAGCTGCAGCTCTGAGGTACCACTGTGCCGTTCTCTGTAGGGCTCTCCGTCGGGGACACCGCGGGGCTCCGATACGTTCTTGACCGCAGTAACAGCCTCGATGAACGAAGCTCGAGTAGATCTCATGCGAAAGTCATGCACGAGGGTCGCAGCATCCCGCGAAGCGTAGCTCGGAGCCGTCCAGGTCGCAGCGAAGAGTGATTGGACTTTCATCGCAGTCCTCAACCATCCATAAAATCCAACTCTCCAGAAATAGAATGCATATGTGCCACATGGTGTAGGAAGCATGACGTCCAACCCCTTCCACCAAAAGAATACATTGAACGATGCTCCAAATATCATAATCGTCATCCTCAGGAGCAGCCGTTCCCGAGAGGTCTCTCTGTATTTCGTAGCGTATCGCGCCGTCTCGGTAATACCGACCAGTCCAATCACGATACCAATCTGTAGCAACAAGAAAGCATGGACAACGTAGGTACTTTGAGCGTTGACGAAGTAGACGAAGCCAACGATGATCAAGGCGAGCAAGAACAGATTGTTGACGGCGCGTAGCACCTTCGCTTCCTGGAAGTAGAAATAATTCGAGAACCAGACTGCGAGGACTTGCGTGTAGTAGCCGATGCGAATGCCTATGCCGAAGATATCGGAATTGCCTGCGAATCCACAGGCCATGAGCACGCTCCTCGTTGACGAGAAGCACAATCGTGAGTCTAGGCGAAAGGAGACCGGAAAAAACATAGAGGACTTGTATCCATCGTCGGTGCTCCACAAACCATGGATTATAGATGCTATCTATTCATCAAGGCAGGACTGAAAGCACAGTAACGGAAAACTGAAAAATCATTGTAGAGTCTATTAAAAGATATGTGGGTGGGATGTCCAAGGTAGCCGCCGACATCTGTTTCAGAATAATGAGCTGAAAAGATGTCGAATCACCGGACAAGCTGCTCAGGAGACGGACGTCATCAGTGGGACGAGATTCCTTTTGACAGTTGCCTGATCTGCCCAGGTTACACAACCGGTCACACAGGCAGCGGGAGCCTCCTTCTCCTCCTGCTTTGCGCTGCTGCGCCACACAGGCGCTCCTGCAGATGCGTGCATGACACGCGGCTAAGCAATTGATTCCTCCCACAACGTTCCCTCACCGAGAGCTGTTTTCGTCCCAATGTTGGCATCCGGATTATGTGCTAACAGTGCCATCAACGCGGGTCGTTGTCGTCGAAGACTAGAGGACTCGAGCCGCTCTTCCTCACGACAAGCTTTCCATCGCTTCCGGCTTCCCGTGATGAATACACAGCCACAGCCATGGCATCCCTGTCTTCTTCAAACCGGTTTCTTTAGGGGAGTTGGGACCGGCAGCCGCGTACGAGTAGGTACATAAGATGAGGGGCATCGCATGTTGTTCCTTGTCGCTTTGCCCAATTCCCAAAGCCCGTTGAGCAGCTGCTTAATCTCTGCGGACCACATCTTTCCGTATATATATATAAGAACAAAGGTACGTGTCTCGAGCAGTTGTTGAGGAGGGTCTGAGCGTCTCTGACCGTCCCTCGGAAGGCCCATTGCCGACCCCCTTGACGACCCTCATTTCCCTCGAACGCCATGTGTACCGAACCCACCTCCAGTCCTGTCAACTTCGTCCTTCCCGGCTCAGCTACGAGCTCGATCATCAAGCCTGGAGGGACGGCACCAGGCAAGACCAAATGCCTCGATTGTGATTGTGGAGGGTTTGACTGCTGCGTCTGCTGCATTCCGGACTGCTGTGTTGTCATGTAGACTGCACACATTGGACATCTGAGGCTGTACTGGTGTTTTACTAGGAGAGTAGGGGATAGGGGTTCGTCAAGTTATATGGGGAAGAAGTTGAACGGATGGAAATATAGGATGGAATTCCCTCTCAGACGTTATCGGATTATAAATGCTCATCTTGAATGACGGAGATGACCTATCTATTCAAATATTCTTCATGCTCCAGTGGAAAAGATGTATAGCCAAATCAAAGCTGAAACCCTGTTCCACTCTGCGTTGTTGATGAACTGAAGAGAAAAAAGTTGCGACTTGCTTGCTGCACGTCGCACTCTGCCGAACATTACACAAAGAAGACCCTCATCATGGATATGTGGGAATATGGTCTAGATATCGTTGGAAGCGATTCCTTTAAATGCGACACGGCTATCAGTACGTTAGTGCAGCTTGCCTGTGGCAAACAACACACCGTTATATATATAGGACTGGCCCATGAGGAGTACGACACGCCCTATCAACAACACCACGATAAGTAACAGCTAGAAATCTGCAACCACTAACGCTTGAGTATCATGTATCATTGTAAATGTAGAGGTACTAAGCCGAAACAGTAATTGGGTATCCGCGGAACGCTGAAAGAATATTTGTTGTGGATGATGACAATCCTAGTCAATTGAACCTACACTGGAAACCCCATCCACAGTACCCACAAGCTGCGTATTAATTCCCTGCAGCTCTTCCGCAAATCGATCCAAAAAATTGGCTCCTTTATTTAATTCCTGCTCACGCGATTTGCTTTCCGCAGCCATATCTGCTTTGAGAGATTCAAGGTCAGTCATCTGAGCGGCCTGATGCCTTCCCAGCATGGACAGCTCCTCTCGGAGCTGGTGACGAGGGTACGATCCTGTCTTCGGAGTGACAGCGAGCTGGGCTTGTAGGCCCTCGATTTGCTTTTGCAAAGTGGTGATTGTCGCCTTATCTTGATGGCTTTCCAAATTGGCGAGCTGGAGTGTATGCTTTAATGAGGCAATGTCGACAGCTGCTTCGTTTTGATCAAGGTCTATACCGACTGAGTCAGTGATTTGCGCTTTCAGCCCCTCGATCTCCTCTCGTAGATTGCTGACTGTCCCCTTGGCTTGTCGAATTTGGATATCAGCAAGCTCAAGCTTGTCCTTAAGCAATGCAACATCCACCACGGCCTCATTTCGGTCAAGGTTCGTGTCCGCTGAATATTCGACAAGCTGGTTGTTTAGCCGCTCGATTTCATTCTGCAAAGCGCTAATTGTCCCTTTATGTAAATGAATTTCCAAGTCTGCAAGCTCGAGTTTGTCTTTAAGAAGAGCAGCATCCACAGCGGCTTCACTTTGGTCAAAATTAGTATCCGTTGAAAGTTCGTCAATTTGGGCCTGCAGATCCCGTATTTGTCTTTGGAGGTCAGAGACTGCTTGTTGATCCTGCTCAAAACGTCTGTCGGCGAGCTCCAACTTGTCTCTCAACAAAGCGATTTCCACTGCTGCTTCACTTCGCTCAAGTTCCTGGTCTCTCATAAAACCCTGTAGAGAGGTAAGCTGACCAACTGCTTCGCTCCGCTTGAGGTTTAGATCAATCAAAGAGGCTTTTAAAGAGGTTGCTTCATCAACTGCTTCACTCCGCTCCTGGTCCACGTCCTCTAGAGTTCGTCTGAGAGCGTTAAACTCTTCTGAAGCAGTCGCGTAAATGATGCGTAGACTTTGGGTCTCCTCCTCCAATGCTTCACTCTGCTTCTGCTCTTCGTCCTGGAGTGCCCGTTCAAGAGCGGCAATTTCTTCGACTGCAGTAGCGTAGATTGCTCTTAGGCTTTGGAGCTCTTCTTCGTATTCGATGGTTGCAGTCTGGAGTTCTTGCTCGTATTTCAAGGCGGCTTCCCTACTAGAGTCCTCTTTTTGAAGATTGAGATCTCTCAATGTCATTCCCAGTGAAGCCACATTACCAGCGGCAGTCTCCAATTCATTGTGTAGTCGCGCTGTTTCCTCCTCATGTTTCTGGGCTGCTTCTCGTAAGTCTCCTTCCTTTTTGAGCGATCCATCCTCAAGCGCCTTGTATTTGGCCTCTGCTTCCTCAAGCTCCTGGTCATATTTGGCGATCACCCCGCGGAGCTCCTGCTGGTATTCGTGGTCTACACGCTCTAGTTTTTGTTTATGACCTGTGGCTACGTCCCCAAGCTCTTGCTGATGTCTTTTGATTACAGCGCTGAGCTCTTCAATTTGAGAGGTTGCACTCGCGAGTTCCTCTGTGTGCTTCGCTATGATAGCCTCAATTGCTTGCTGACTTCTCATAGCTGCGTTACCTAATGCTTGTTCATTTGTTGTGACGATCTCCCCGAGCTCCTCTTGATGTTTTGCTGTCATAGCCTGGATTTCGTGTTGATGTTTTGTGGCGAAAGTTCCTGACGCTTGTTCGTCTCTCGTGGTGGCAGTCCTGAGTTCTTCCAGATGCTTTGCTTCTAAGAATTGGGACTCTCGCTGGTATTTTGCGGCTGCGTCCCCAAACGCTTGCTCCTGTCTCGTAGCGGCCGTCTCGAGCTCTTCTTCGTTTTTGGCTATGAGAGCCTTGATCTTTTGCTGATGTTTCGAAGCCGTGTCTCTAAATTCCTGCTCATGTTTCTGGTTTGCATCGCGAAGTACTGTTTGACGCTCCTCTTTTACAGCATCAATTTCCTGCACGTGTTTCGCGGCTGCGTTCCGAAGCTCTTGCTCAAGGTGGTGAACCTTTTCCTGCAATTCTTCGTATCCCGTGGTAGCATCCCGAAGTTCTTGCTCATGTTGTTCGACCTTGCCCACTAATTCTTGTTCGTTCCTTTTCTTCGCTTCCTTGAGTTCGTCTTTGTCAGCTTGGCGGGCTTTCTCAACGTTTTCTTGAAGTTCCTGGACTAGACTGGATAGATCGCCCATTTCCTTAATCTCCTGATCCCTGGATTGTACCAATTCATCACGTTCCGCTTGAATTGACTCAATCGTTGCTAACACTACCGCTGCTGCTTCATCCAATTCACGCTTGCGCCTGGTATGTAGCCCCTGAAATTCGCCTTTGAGACTCAACACCGATTCTTTCCCTTCCTGCTCTCCGCGTTGACCATGGGCAGCTTCCGACAATCTTTGGATCTCCTCGTCCTTCCAACTGAGAACTTTGTTGTGTTTCTCTTGCGTCTTGCGATGAGTGGCTTCAAGATCAGAAATCTTTTTGCGACTATCGTCAACTTCTGATTCGAGAGGCACGATCTGCGCCAGAAACGCAGCTTTCGTCTCTTCGTTTTTGCGTTCATTGGTGGTCTGGATATCCCTGATCTGGGCATGTAGTTGCTGCATTTCGGCATGAAGGTCCCGGATCTCTCCATCTTTGACAGCTATCGTGTGCTTCAATCCCTCACTTCTTTGATGATCCTGCACATCTATTGCCCTTAAGACATCATCGGCGCCATTCTCATCCTTACTGAGCTCATCATTGGCTTGGGGTTCTCCAAGCCCATCAGGCTTATGCGTGTCCAATCCTGGCGCAACGCTCTCCGAGCTGGGGGACGGTACCTCATTTTGCGTACTGGTACTGGTAAGACGTCTGCCAGAGGGGGTATTCTTATGATTTATAACCGGCAGTTTAATTTGTAATGTGGTTCCCGCCTTCGATGCCCTCGAAGATGATTGTGTAGGTGTTGCAGTCCGTGGAACACGCGCTGGAGTACTAGCCTTCGCACTCTGCGTCGGCTTGACCGGTTGAGTACTCTTGTTTGGACTATCCTTACGAGGAGTATCCGTTCCGCCTGTCGCTGTCTGCCCTGCTCTTGATGTTGTCCTGCCAAACGACGGGGCTTTAGCCACGGTCAACGGCTTCTTGGAGGCATGGACCTTGGACGTTTTACTGAACCCATCGGCATCGAATCCCTGTGTCATACTTTC